CCATTTGCATAATGAAGAAATGCTGCAAGATTTTTGTTATATCATATGTAATAAAATATTATGTTGTCTGTATGTGTTATATATATATATATATATATATATATATATGTATGTATATATGTATATATGTATGTATGTATATACTCCTTCCGTCCCAGATTATTTGTCCACTTTCATTTTTACACATCATCCAATGCACCTCTTTAATCCATTTTATCTTGTAATTTATATATTAAAAAATTATAGAAATTATATATTAATAATCTATATGTTAAGACAAATCAAACAAGATCACATATGACTATATTTAGGCTTACACATTGAGAGAATTTGATGAGTCAAAGTGCTTAGATGAACAGTTCCAAAAGTCAAAAGTGGACAAAGAGAGTGGGACGGAGGTAGTATATATGTGTGTGTGTGTGTGCACATATACACATTGTTTTGTATAAATAAATTAATTTTTTTACATTGTTTTGTATCCAACCGACCCATTGATTTGCTCATCTATTGCCTAGCTAATAATAAATATGATGGATCGAAATTGGATTGATATGTTGCGGACATCACCTAAGTTTAGCTCTGGTTTGGATGAGTTTATTCGTTTCATTGGGAAACATTCAAAAGAGGGGGAAGTTATATTGCCATTGTAACTTATCTCATAACCATTTTGTGGTTGATAACATTAAGGATATAAGATTTCACGTGTATCGCAAGGATTTCGACCCAACATACAAGCAATGGAAATGGCATGAAGAGTTAGAGAATGTTGGTAGCTCTAGGTATACTTATAACGAACAAGTACAAGTCGATATTGACAATATCCATGGTTTGAAGCTAAAATGGAAGATGAGTAAGGGTGTACTTAAGATGTTCGTCCTGATCAAAATGTCATTGATGAAGATTGTAATATGTATGAGAGATTAGTAGGGAATTCAAAACGGCCATTGTATCCTGGTTGTACAAAGTTTACACATTTGAAAGAGGTTTTGGCATGGTTCGATTTAAAAGTAGCAAATGGGTGGAGTGACAAGAGCTTCACATCCTTGTTAGGTTTGTTGGGTGAACTTCTTCCAGATGGACACGAACTGCCCTCATCCACTTATGAGGCAAAGAAATTGATGTCTCCAATTAGGAAGATGTGGTGCACGATATTCCCCTACTTTCCCTGTAACGCCCCAAAACATACCGTAGGATTATTAATGAATAATTATTGAAAAATGCTAGGGGTACACCAAAGGTGTACCCTATTTGTCCCCCACCCCCTCCATTACCACAAAAATGAGCAAAAATTTAAAAAAAAATTAAATAAATAAAAAGTAGATAAAAATGAGTGGTGGAGAAGGGGGTGTGGGACAAATGGGGTACACTTTTGGTGTACCCCTAGCATTGCTCATAATTATTCAATTAATCAAATTGTTTTGATTAAAATAAATTGTTGTTGGGCTTTGGGCCGAAATAAAATATGTTTTGATATCCAATATCACAATCAATATAAATCTCATAGAGATATATCCAATTAGTTGACTATATGTGTGGTCTTGATAGGAAACCTCTATACACACCCAAATTAAGAATAAATAAAGAAATTGTTTATAATGTGAATTTTGAAATGATTTATTGAAATAAATCATGGAAATAAATAATATGAATTAAATGTGAGAACCTTTTTGAATAAAGGTCAATTAAACCAATTTTGACTTTGTCAAAGTCAACCACCCAAAAATATGATGTCAGAAAAAGTATAACGAATAAATATAAAAATTATATCGTTAGATAGAGTTTAATCGCACGATCGCAACTGTGCAAATGGATTTCAATTTGGATAAAATTTGACCAAAAAGTGTACCCCGACTGGGACCAAAATTAGTCCCAATCAGGGAGTAACGTGCTGAATCTCTTTATCGCCGAATGATTTGTGAAATGGGAATCCTACGCAGCAGCAACTCATCTTCCCATGTCTTCTTCCTCTTCCTCTTGTTATACAAGAAACTCCATTCTTTTCATTTCTTCACCATTCATCTTCAAACTTCTTCCCAAGTGTTCCTAAGAGTGTAAGGAGTGTAGTGGTGCTGTCAATTTGGTGTGAAGTTGCCGGAGCTAGCCACAAACCTCGCCGAATATCGTCAAAACCTCCATTAAGCTTCGAGGTAAGCCCGTAGATATATCTAATGACTAGAATGTTCATATAGGTCGTTTCTACATTCATGAATGGTCATTTAGTTGAGTTTTGTGTTTGACATGCTTGAAAAACTAAGAATCATAAACCTTGAATTTGATGTTAAAACTATAAATTAATGATACCAAAATGATATATGAACCTTGGATAACATTTTTATATAGTTTAATTGAAGTTTGGTAGTTAAAAATGATATTCACGAAGCTTGAACCGAGGTTGAAGACGAAGTACTGTTCTTGATTCGAATGCAGCACGCAGTAGCGGTAATGCACTACCGTAAGACAGTAATGCACTACCGTGCGACGGTAATGCACTACCGTGAGACGGTAGGATGGTACCGCCACATGCCATTTTAACTTGTCCAAAATCTTCATGTTCGAAAATTAACTCAAAAAAATGCTATCATGATACTTTTCCACTCCAATACAGAAATGAAACCATTTTTAAAGTAAATATAATATTTTGATTAATCCTAATATGTTATGTGATGCATGACGGTAAGTTTAGGTGTTAACACTCGAGACTAGGCCGCTATTTTCTATCGAATGTTATGTTGATTGATCATTATGATGAATAAATATTATAAATGATGAACCTACTGATTAGAATGATTATTGATGACTTAATCATAATTAAAAATGGATATATTGATAATCATAACAAAAATGTATTGTTAAGGGTATCTAGAACAAACTCTAAGATATACCCATAATGAAATTGATGTTGAAAGGTATCTAGAAAAACTCTAAGATATACCTATTTAAGTTAGGCCTTGCTGGTATGATGCCCGGTGGCTAGGGTTAAAACGTACGTACGGGATCCAAGAACCAAACTTGAGTACCTACTCGTTTGGGGGTACCACCCAACCCAACAGTGGACACTACACTGTTGGTTTTTGGTTGACCTTAAGCGAAGGTAAGTTTAAGATTTGAAAACTTTTTTTTAAAATATATCTTAAACTAGGCCTAGCTTAAGGATTAGAATATCTTGAACTAGAATCAGTTTAAGAATAGAACTGACCTTAGACTAAACATAGTTTAAGAATATTGTTGAATATTGAATATGAATGTTGAATATTGAAATAATAAAAATATTGAGAATACCATGAATTATATATTGTGTGCATGATATCAAATGGTTGTTTGTGAATTGAGATTCAATATATGTGGATGTTCGACGCTTTAGATATGCTTACTCAGCTTCACCGATGAGCGTGTAGTATGTTTTATTTGCTACACGCAGGTAGACAAAATGAATGAAGTGATGATTTCTGGAGGCAGACGGGAGCGAGATGGTCGTGGTGGACATGTTAAATGAATTGATGTTTAAAAAAACATAAAATTAGTATGTTTTGTAATGGTTATATATTCAGTTTACGCAACATTAAACTACTCCGTTATTATCTTGGATAATTTCATTACTAAATAAAGTCTTAAAATGTTTGAAATATTTGAATGTTTACGAATACCAAGTTTATTACTTTAGTCTTAAAGGGACTGCAGACCTGGACGGATTAGGGTGTTACATTCCCACCGGGTCAAGGTCTCTGTGACCATAGTACTTCTAGGTATGGGTGAGTATATAACATTGCTTGTTCGACTAAGCACATGATGATGGTAATTGATTACGAGGGGAGCTTCGTCGCATGGGCGAAGTCTTTGGTGGGCCTTATAAGGGTAAGAAGTTAATGCATAATGGTGAGTGATAGTTTTGTAAATAATATGATCAAAATCGAGAAATGAAAAAAACCGGCTTAAAAATAAGCATGTAAGACCTATTTTTTAACTTTTAAACTGATTATAAGCACAAAGAAATATGTCATTAACTAAATTATAAACTAAATCGACATATAAGCAATTTTGACTTACTTATAAACACAGAGAAACACATACTTAGGTGGTGTTTCTATGTGATGGTGCTTATGAACTTATTATATTGACGATAAATTATTTTAACTTATAAGCTACTTATAAATCAAATATTCTCTTGTGGAAGTATAATGACTTAAATGATAGATAAGTCATTTGTAAATATTCATAAATGGCAAGAATTGTAAATAATTTGGTCAAAAAAGAGAAATAAAAAAACTAACTTAAAAATAAGTAGCAAAGATCTACTTATTTTTTCTAGCTTATAAGCAACTTATAAGTCAACTTATAAGCACACATCACCTGACTTATAAATTAAACACCTTGGTTTCCATGACATTGAGAACCAATGTCATGGGATGACACGGGGTGCTCCGATGCCTCGTTCGTAAAATTGACGGTTCCTACCCCCCTAACCCCCGGTAAATCCCTACACCCACCCCGACCCGAAGACGCCCCCCACATTCTTCAATTGCACCCCCAAGTTAATTTTATCTTTGGAGTTGGGGGGTGCAATTGAAGGGTGTGGGGGGCGTGTTCGGGGCGGGACTAGGTAAGAATCATCAATTTTACGAATGAAGCACTGAAGCGTTCTCGGGTCATCCCAATGTCGGTGGTTCCCAATGTCATGGGAACCGACCTCTAAGTTAAAAATAACATATAAGCAATTATGATCAACTTCCAAGCACAAAGAAACACCACTTAATTTATATGTAACTTATAAGTTAAAAGCTACGTATCGACAAATAGCCAATTAATGGTATGCATACATAATTATTTATTTGTATCAACTTAAAACCAATAATTGTTTATCTGTACATTTTCATCAATTTTTTGATAAAATAAAATATTTTTGTCATTTTTAATTTATAAATTTTAGACGTAATTTTTAAATATGTGATTTTTTTTATTTGTATCTAATTTTTCAAATTAAATGAATTTAAAAACTAGTTAGAAGGAAGTAGTGTAATATAATTGGGAGAGTTTCACTCACCCCCACCACAACTCTGCGGAGCAAAACACCTCCTTCCCCCTCCCCGCTGCTGCAGGTGCCAACTTCATGTATGTAGCTCATGCAATTTGAGCAGCGTTCACATTTTCCATCAATTGATTCGGTTTCACTGCGAAATTGCATTCAAACTTCCTGTTATCAGTCACTCTGTAAATATCACTGGACCAAACTCACTGTTTCAATCCGTAAACCCTAGCCTCTAATCTGAACCCCAGTTCGGCAGTATTTCTTCAGCTTTGACAAACCTAGGGCTTGTTCAACATGAGTCCCGTTCAGAACTTCGAGCAGCACGCCCGCAATCTCATCGAACCAGACTTACGTAAGTTTTTTTACTACATAAATTATAGGTGTAGATTATGGTATGCATCCATGCGTTTTTTTTGTTGGTTTTTGCTGCTGATTATTATTTTTCAAATGGGTTTCTGGATCAGCAATCCAGACGAGGCTTCAAATGGTGATGGAGGTGCGGGACAGTTTAGAAATAACGCACACAGGGGAGTATCTGAACTTTCTCAAATGCTATTTTGGTTCGTTTTCTGTGATTATGTATCACATGACAAAGCCACAGTCAATGGATAATCCTGAGCACAAGCTTAGGAACATTGTGGTTGAGATACTGAATCGTTTGCCACACAGTGAAGTGCTCCGGCCTTTCGTCCAGGAGCTGCTGAAGGTGGCTATGCATGTTCTGAAGACAGATAACGAGGAGNATTTTTCAAATGGGTTTCTGGATCAGCAATCCAGACGAGGCTTCAAATGGTGATGGAGGTGCGGGACAGTTTAGAAATAACGCACACAGGGGAGTATCTGAACTTTCTCAAATGCTATTTTGGTTCGTTTTCTGTGATTATGTATCACATGACAAAGCCACAGTCAATGGATAATCCTGAGCACAAGCTTAGGAACATTGTGGTTGAGATACTGAATCGTTTGCCACACAGTGAAGTGCTCCGGCCTTTCGTCCAGGAGCTGCTGAAGGTGGCTATGCATGTTCTGAAGACAGATAACGAGGAGAATGGTCTAATTTGCATCCGAATAATCTTTGACTTGCTTCGTAACTTTAGGCCTACTTTAGAGACAGAAGTTCAACCCTTTTTGGATTTTGTATGTAAAATCTACCAAAATTTTAGGGCAACAGTTAGTTATTTTTTTGAGAGTGGGGCATTCACAGCTCCTCCACCACTGCCACCATCCAGTTCAGGGTCTACATTGAGTGAGGGGGATGCAAGACCAATGGAGATATCCGATCAAGTAGGTCCCACAAGCGGTAACACTGGGACTGGGCTGCTTAATCCCAGTGTTAGGTCGTTTAAGATTGTTACGGAGAGTCCATTGGTGGTGATGTTCCTTTTTCAGTTATATAACCGACTGATTCAGACAAATATCCCTCATTTGCTTCCACTGATGGTTTCTGCCATATCTGTCCCTGGCCCTGAAAAAGTTCCACCTCACTTGAAATCCCACTTTATTGAACTGAAGGGTGCACAAGTTAAGGTATGCTGTATGTTCTCAATAGCTCACCTTGTTGGTAATTCTATTTGGGTGTCAGACTGGTGTGATTGTTAACTTGTTGTTATTATAATAATAATAATAATAATAATAATAATAATAATAATAATATTATTATTATTATTATTAGCTGGGATTTTCTGATGTCAACGAGTGCAATTAATGTGTGCCCTAGAACTACCAATGACACAATGTGTTTTGAAAAATAAAGTTTAAAATGGATTTTAGAAGTACGTCAATGGTTTGGAATTTAGACTTGGATTGGCACCTGGCAGTGCTTTGTACACACATTAACTCATTTAAAAAGAGAAAATCACTAGCACCACCAATCGACCATAAGCTCTCTTTCGATATGTGATGTATAACACTTTTGAAACGTGAATTTTTACCATTCCCCTCCAAGGAAGAAGATTCTTACTTTTTTTATTTAGTGTTTTGCATATTATATCACTTTCTTCTTGCTGTTAAATTCTTATGGATTTTGTTGTTGTAATATGCACTGTTTCTTTTTTGACTTACTTGTTGAAGAGCTGTGCTGATTATATTAAGCCTCATGAAGAAAATATTTGCAAGAGCATTGTAAATTTGCTTTTCACATGCCCTGATTCAGTGCTTTGTACACACATTAACTCATTTAAAAAGAGAAAATCACTAGCACCACCAATCGACCATAAGCTCTATTTCGAAATGTGATGTATAACACTTTTGAAACATGAATTTTTACCATTCCCCTCCAAGGAAGAAGATTCTTTCTTTTTTTTATTTAGTGTTTTGCATATTATATCACTTTCTTCTTGCTGTTATGTTCTTATGGATTTTGTTGTTGTAATATGCAGACTGTTTCTTTTTTGACTTATTTGTTGAAGAGCTGTGCTGATTATATTAAGCCTCATGAAGAAAATATTTGCAAGAGCATTGTAAATTTGCTTGTCACATGCCCTGATTCAGTTTCTATTCGAAAGGTAAAGGCTGTTGAATACTCTTTTTCTCTTTGACAAATTGAATGTTCTATCATCTATGTACTTTTTTAAAGCTTAAACGCTCTATGGATTGCAGGAATTATTGGTGGCCTTGAAACATGTTCTTGGCACAGATTTCAAGAGGGGTTTATTTCCTCTGATTGACACACTTCTGGAGGAAAGGTAAGACTTGGAAAGTATTAATCACCATTTAATAAGGTGCACTGTTATTACATCAATTTTGTGTCCTTTGCCAATGGATCTATAATAGTCATTATTGACAATGTTTTAGCTTCGGGTAATAATGAACTAACAACTAAATCAAAATGACACATTTTCCTTTGCTTCTCACTATGTTTTGAGTCTGATTGAACGACCTCCAGTTTTTAAAAGGATAAGATTGTACATCATAATCCTTGGGCCCCAACGGTGTTCGGATTATACTTTGGTTTTGTTGTTGGTGTAACATCATACTCCCTCCGTTCCTTAAAACAGTTCCTCTTTCATTTTTTTCGTTTTCCCAAAAACACTTCCATTTTTGTAAAAAATAGCTAATATATCTAAATTAAGTTTTATCAATATACTCCATTCAATTTGTATTGATATAATAGTCATTTAAATGATTTGTCTCTCTTTTTTTCTTCGATAATAAGAGTATAATTAAAAGGTCAAATTATGAAATTAAATCTCTCCCAAGTCAAAAGATGAGCTGTTTTAGGGAACAGAGGGAGTATTATATAGTGCACAAGAATGTTCAGGAGTTCTGGGATCCAGAAGATTGTGCTTTAATTCAGCTCACTCTATTGGATATTTTAATAAAATTGTCTGTTAGATTGTTCACACTCATATTTGTTTTCAAATCAATCTGAACCAGGGTGCTTCTTGGGACGGGACGGGCATGCTTTGAGTCACTAAGGCCTTTGGCTTATAGTCTACTGGCAGAAATTGTTCACCATGTTAGGGCAGATCTTTCTTTGTCACAGGTATTGCCAGTTAATATTTAAGAAGGTACTCGCCCCTAGAGGTTTGTCTGAGACTTAGGGCGGGAAGGTGCACATTATATCCTCGGAATATTTTGGACCTAGATAATGTTTTTCAATTATATAAGGAGCATATGTATATAAAGAAAGCAATTTCTTCTCTACCATATACCTCTATTCAATAAACTAACATCTGCTGTGTTGCTACCTTTATATCCTTTTACCCTGTAGTTTTAGAGAGGGCTTAGCATTCATTGAATTTCTCAAAGTTGTTTCCCCTTTTGTTATACACAGCTGTCTCGGATAATTTACCTATTTTCAAGCAACATGCATGATGCTTCGTTGGCCTTGGGCATCCATACAACCTGTGCTCGCTTAATGTTGAATCTGGTACTTAACGGTTAACATAAAAATTCTTTGCCCAAAAACCTTTTGAGTTTTCTTTTCTCCATTGGTCCTATTTTCACTGCCTCTCTACTTTTAGTAGGGGTAAGGTCTGCATACACACACCCTCCCGAGACCCTACTGTTGTGGGATTCGACTCGGTTGCTGTTGCGGTTGTGGTCCTTTTTTATACTAACTAGAATTCGAGAAGTATCTGCAGTCAGTGGCGAGCGTATGACATTTCAAGTTGTCTTGTGTTATTATAGGTGGAGCCAATTTTTGAAAAAGGTCTTGACCAATCGACGATGGATGAAGCTCGCATTTTGTTGGTTAGTGACTTTGAGACTCTTGTTTTTTCTTCTTGAACCATCACTCTGTTTTTTACTAATGGAGTTGGCTGTATTTTGCCCTATTAATTTATAGGGTCGGATATTGGATGCTTTCGTTGGAAAGTTCAACACTTTTAAGCGGACTATTCCCCAGGTGCTTCACCTTTCGTTGATTATTAAATGTGTGTGGGACTGTGGGCACACACACACACACACACCGGGGGTCTCTTGGAAACAACCCCTCTACTTTCGAGTAGGGGCAAGGTCTGCCCACACACACCCTCTTCAAACTCTACTCTCGTGGGATCTAACTGGGTTGTTGTTGTTGTTGTGTGTGTATATGCATATATATGTGTGTATATATATATATATGCATATATATATATGTATGTATATGTATGTATGTATATGCATATATATATATATATATGTATATGTGTGTGTGTGTATATATATATTTATATATATATATGTATATATATATGTATATATATATATATGTATGTATGTATGTATACACACACACACACACACTCCCTCCGTCCGGGAATAAACTTCCCATTTTGACTTTTCTTCAATTTTATGAAGAGTTGACTATGGGTGTAATTTGTCTAAAATACCCTCCCTCTCCTTCCTTTCCCAGCCCCGCCACCATCAAGTCCCCGCCACCGCCTCCACCGTAGTCCCTCCCCTCCTCGCCGCCAGCCCCGCCGTTGCCGCCAGCTCCACCATCGATCCATTCTCCGACCATCTCCACCCGCCCCCTCTACCATAATCGCGTCAGTCCCACCATCATTGCCATAGCCCTACCATTAGATCTCAAAGAAATAAAGAATGATGAGAAAGAAGTTAGAAAAAGAGTAGAAGAAGATTGCAGATCTAGACTTACCATCGACGCAACCTCACCATCGCTGCCACCCTACCATTGATGCCACCCCTACCATCGACGCCACTCTATAATAGAAAGAAGGTAGAAAAAGAAAAGAAGAAGAAGAAAAAGAAGAAGTGGAGATCTAGACTCACCATCATCCCCGCTAAAACCATCGCCGTCGCCACCATCGCCGCCGCCACCATCGCTGCCATGCTCAGATCTAGAAGAGAGATGGAAGAGAAATAAGAGGAGGAGATAAAGAAGAGCAAAGATGACGGGGGAAAAGTGAAGAAGAGGAGATGACGGAGGAAGAGAGAGGAGGAGAAAGATGAAGAAGAAGGAAAAAGAAAAGAAAATTGAGTGGAAGAGAGGAGGAGGAGATGACGGAGAAAGAGAGGAGGAGAAAGAAGAAATGAAAAAAGAAGAAGAAAAAGTGGAAGAGAGGAGAAACAACATGGGGTAGAAAGAGGAGAGAAGAAAAAAAGAAAAGAGGGGTATTATTGGAAGGGGTAATTTAGGAAGAATTGGTATAAAATAGTAGAATGGGAAGATTATTTACGGACGGAAAAAAAGGTAGAGTGGGAAGATCTTTTCCGGACGGAGGGAGTATATATTATGTATATATTTTATTTTATTTTGAAGTGTGTGTGTGTGTATTCTATTTTTAGATGATTGTCGCCATTCGTTGGTATCCTTTCCCAATATTTTTCAGTGTCCTAGTTATGTACTGTTGACTGTTTGTTTTTGACAAGGGAATATACTTTCATGTGTGTGTGTATTCTATTTTTAGATGATTGTTGCTATTAGTTGGTATCCTTTCCCAATAGTTTTTTCAATGTCCTGTTTATCCACAGTTGATTGATTGTTTTTGACAAGAGAAATTGCTTCCATATATACTTCAATTGTTGCATTCATGTATAAACGCATTACGCATGATCATTGAACATGTGTGTTTATTAATGTTGCACCATGGCTCTATTGTGCACATTCAAATGATTCTTTAAATGAATGACAACCCAAATGTTTATGCTCAATTGATCATGATAGTCAACAGCCAATTTGCCTTTTATCTTTTAAAAATAGTGATGTCTGGCCTATTTTATTCCTTTATTTCCCAGTTACTTGAAGAAGGAGAGGGGAAAAGCCGATCTACTTTGAGGTCAAAACTTGAACTTCCAGTGCAGGTAATTGGATCATACTCCCTCCATCCCAAAATAAGAGTCATTTTTACTATTTATAGGGTCAAATTATATCTTCTTTCCTTGCACATTTTCTTTGATCATTTAATATAGAAAAATTGTCAAGTCATTGGTCACTACTTATCTTGTCAACCTTTTGGTGTAGTTTTTAAATATACATGGAGTAATTTTTATTTTAAACTCTACACCAATCTTTATATATATTGAATTGAAAATAACTTCGTTCAAACATCGTAAACTAAAATAGAACTATTATTTTGGGACAGAGGGAGTATTTAATTTCTTTTATATGTGGCATGGTGTGAGTGGCTTCATTGATAGTCTTTTGTCGATCCAACATTTGACTTCACTTGTTTTAATTTCTTACCCTCTCATCATAACATTCCTATCATATATCAATATTTTTCCAAAGAAATATTTTTGCAAGTCATACTCAATGTTTATCTCTTGCTAGATTTTTTTCATGCAAGTGGCACGAATAAGGGCCTGTTCTTTTGGGTTGGAATAGTTAACTTCCGACCTTTTCCAACTTCTTTCAGTATCTTCCTACTCGTTCCAATTTTTTCCGACTCCTAGTTTCTTCCAACAACAACCTTAAAAATGAATTTACATATGATGAGTTTACAGTAATATATCCAAATTTATAACGTACCACCTCAAACACGTACAAAGATGAACTCTTTTTTTAATCCAAAATTAGTTGTTTTACATACTCCCTCCGTTCACAAATAAACTTTACGTTGCGTGTTACGATGTTTGAGTGAAGCTATTTTCAAATCATTTTATATGAAAAATGGTGTAGAATTGAAAAATAAAAATTACATATTAAAAAACTATATCAAAAGATCTACAAAACTAGAGGTGACATGACTATATTATTTTATCAAATGGGTGACGAAAATAGGCCAACAAAGTGAATAAAGTTTGACCTGTGAATAGTGAACGTAAAGTTTATTTGTGGACGGAGGGAGTATTTATTTGAGTGGTTATTTAATTGAATGATTTTTTAACATATTTTTTAAACTTTTTCCAACTCTTTCCAGTTTCTTCCGACATCCAACTTTAAAATTCCAATCGAAAAGAAAAAGCCCTAAATCCTGATCTTATCTTTGTCTCTCTCTCTCTCACACACACGATGTACATGTATAATTATATATGTGCATATGTAAGTGATTATTTTAAAATATGCTCTCTCCGTCGTATTAGATTCTTTACACTTGCCATTTTCATTTGTCCCATTAGATTCTGTAGACTTTCATTTTTAGAAAAAAGTAAAGAAATGAAATGCCCATTTTACTCTTTCTATTTATAGGTCACATAATCCCTATCCCACCCCCATTTTGACCCACCCTATCCTTACTCTTTTTGCTACCACATCATACCAAGTACCGACCTAGTCCCACTTACTATTCCTTTGTACTTTTATTTTGATAATTGTACTTTAAGGGGCAAAAAGGGAAAGTAACCAAGAATATTTCATATGCCTAAAACATTGTGAAGTCTTTTCTATCAAGAACCTAACAGGATGGTGGGAGTATTTTTTTCAAGATTGATACTCCGTAGTAAATTATTTCTAACTAAATGTGGTGGTTGAGAGTTTTATTATGTTCTTACTTTGAATTTTATGTTAAACACATTTTGAGTCAAGTATTGGGTACAATGTGTTTAGTGCTTGTTTTTGCAATCCAAAGGACGTAATATAAATTGCTCCACAGAATTCTTTACTGCTTTTGTGTTGGAATTAGCTTTGGAACTGCATTCATTTTAATGATTCTTTGTATGTTTCCCCATTGAGTATGGTGTGTGGAGTCACTGGAGTGTAGTTGGACACATGGATTTGCATTATTGTAATTATTGCCATGTTATTGTAATTCTTCATACTTTTTTATCGATGTCATTTCTCTATTTGTTATGTGACCATGCTTCAATTGTAGGCAGTACTGAATTTGCAAGTCCCGGTGGAACATTCCAAGGAAGTCAGTGATTGCAAACATTTAATCAAAACCTTAGTTATGGGTAAAACCATTCATCCCTTCTGTTTCTTTTTTCAATCATGTGGTTGGTAACAATCAGAGTTTCTTATGCAAGGCATTGTAATGATACAAAGATACTCCCTACGTCTCCAAAAGATGTTCGTAGTTACTTTTTCACGGAGTTTTAGAAAAGGAAAAATGTGTGGTTGAGATTTATGTGGATGAGATGGTAATAATTTGAGCCACATCACTCTTTCTTTATAACGAAATGGTAACTTAATTTGGGACGTCCCAAAAAGAAAGTGAGAGCTTTGGGGGATGGAGGGAGTATGTAGTATTTGGCATGCCATTCTAAACAGATGTTTGCGTACTTGCACATGTTTTCAGGAATGAAGACGATAATTTGGAGTATTACTCATGCACATTTTCCACGCTCCCAGGTTTACAAATGCTGCATTCTTTTAGAACCTTCATCGCTAATGTAGCTAAAATAGTTCGGTTGACTCTTTTAGGAGGTCATTGCTAATGATACTAAATGAATCATTATTAAAATGTTTGTTCCGGGTAAATTATGGACTAAAGCAAAATGACACATTAAACATCCTTTGCTTCCTACTTCCTATGAAGTTTTGTGTTGCAAATGCAACTCTGCACGCCTCTCTGTTTTCTTCAGGGGTAAGGCTGCTTTCATCTTGACCCAACAAAGCTGTTGGTGCTGTTGTTATTGTTTATTAGAACCTCCATTTGTGGTGTTCATTTCTCTCATGACGCTCCATTATTTTAGGTTTCTTCATCAACACATGGGACACCACCTGTGCTCGCTTCGTCATCTTCTTGTTTGTCAGTACCTCAACCTTTCAAAGGAATGAGAGAGGATGAGGTATCAACACAGAAATTACCAGTTTTATTTTTGTTTTGACCTGTATAGTTATTCCCATTAATTCGTTAGCCGGTGCAAGGGAATTAATCTTTTTTTATAGGTTTGGAAAGCCTCTGGCGTTCTTAAAAGTGGTGTGCATTGCTTGGCATTATTCAAGGAGAGGGATGAAGAGAGAGAGATGATCCAGCTTTTTTCTCAGATTTTGTCCATTATGGAGCCACGAGATCTAATGGACATGTTTTCCTTGTGCATGCCGGATCTCTTTGAGTGCATGATTTCCAACAGTCAGCTAGTTCATATCTTTTCAACGCTTCTGCAAGCTCCTAAAGTGTTCAAACCATTTGCAGATGTTCTGGTTAATTTTCTTGTTAACAACAGACTAGATGTCCTGAAGCATCCTGATTCACCTTCAGCTAAACTTGTGTTGCATCTTTTTCGATTTTTATTTGGTGCTGTAGCCAAGGCTCCTTCGGACTGCGAGCGTATTCTACAGCATCATATACCTGTTATAATGGAAACTTGTATGAAAAATTCAACTGAGGTTGAGAAACCAATTGGTTTTCTTCAGCTCCTACGTACTATGTTTCGTGCTCTTGCTGGTGGAAAATTTGAAGGACTATTGCGAGACTTGATCGCTATGCTGCAACCTTGCCTGGCTATGTTGTTGGCTATGCTAGAGGGACCTACTGGTGAAGACATGCAGGAGCTTCTCTTAGAACTTTGCTTAACACTTCCTGCACGATTAAGTTCATTGCTACCCCACCTTCCTCGTCTAATGAAGCCTCTTGTCATGTGTCTCAAAGGAAGTGATGAACTTGTGAGTCTTGGTCTAAGAACACTTGAGTTTTGGATTGATAGCCTAAATCCTGACTTTCTAGAACCGAGTATGGCAAATGTTATGTCTGAGGTGATTTTGGCATTATGGTCTCATTTGAGACCCGCATCTTATCCTTGGGGTGGCAAATCATTGCAGCTCCTTGGAAAGCTAGGTGGCCGTAATAGACGTTTTCTCAAAGAGCCCCTCGCTCTTGAATGCAAGGAAATTCCAGAGCATGGGCTTCGCGTGATTCTTACATTTGAGCCTTCAACCCAATTTTTGGTACCACTTGATCGCTGTATAAACCTTGCTGTAGCAGCTCTGATGCATAAAAATGCTGGTGTGGATGTTTTTTACCGAAAACAAGCATTGAAATTCTTGCGTGCATGCTTGTCATCTCAACTTAATCTGCCAGGTATTGCTAATGATGAGGCCTCAACATCCAGGCTGCTGTCGGCTATGTTAGTTTCCACAGTTGACACATCCTGGAGAAAATCTGAGATGTCTGATGTAAAGGTTAGCTAATAAATGATGTGATTGTGTCTTTGTGAGGGTCTTAATATAAATGTTCTGTCTTTTGCTACATTTAATACATTATAGAGTGTTCTTTTCTAAATTCATGTAAAATAAAATGTCTTGATAGGCTGACTTGGGCGTCAAGACAAAGACCCAGCTTCTTGCTGAGAAATCTGTTTTCAAGACCCTCTTGACAACCATCATTGCTGCAAGTGCTGAATCTGATTTACATGATCCCAAAGATGAATATGTTGTCTGTGTTTGTCGCCATTTTGCAGTATTGTTCCATGTAGAAAATGTTGCTGCCCACAGCTCTGTTCCAGCTGCTCAAATTAGTATGTCTATGCTTTCAAACACCTCCAGCATCACTGCCAAGCCGAGATTTGGTTCATCTTCCAATCTTAAGGAGTTGGACCCCCTGATCTTTCTGGATGCTTTAGTGGAGGTTCTAGCAAACGAAAATAGACAGCACACTACAGCTGCATTGAATGCACTGAATGTCTTTGCAGAAACACTTTTATTCCTTTCCCGCTCAAAACATGCGGACACACACATGCCAAGAGGTGGTCCAAGTACTCCTATGGTTGTCTCTAGCCCATCAATGAGTCCTGTGTATTCACCGCCCCCTAGTGTTCGTGTACCTATATTTGAGCAGCTTTTACCCAGACTTTTGCATTGTTGCTATGGTTGTACTTGGCAAGCACAAATTGGCGGAGTCATGGGGCTTGGTGCTTTGGTGGGAAAGGTCACTGTTGAAACACTCTGCCTTTTCCAAGTTAGAATTGTTAGAGGTCTGGTTTATGTTCTCAAGAGGCTTCCTAGTCATGCTGCTAAAGAGCAGGAGGAGACAAGCCAAGTGCTTACGCATGTTCTCCGCATGGTGAATAATGTTGATGAAGCTAACAATGAAGCACACAAGCAGAGTTTCCAAGGTCAACAACTTATGAACCGGAGTCTCAACAAGTTGGGGTTACACAGATAGTTGCACTCCTTCTAACATGTCAGAACAAACCCTGAAAACCGGTCATCCTGACCATCACTTCAAAGTCTTAACGAACTTGGTTACATGGTTGGAAACGAAGTCGGAGAATATCAAGCGGGTGACGCTAGTTTCTGACACCTCGTTGTCCATAGAACTAAAAACATTTCTCACTTTAACTGTTTCACTTTAATTGTTTTTTTGACCAACCATAAGTTAACTTTTTCCTATATTTAGGTTGGGACGGTTACTGCCCTTAACTTCTGCCTTGCTTTAAGACCCCCTCTGCTAAAGCTGACTCAGGAACTAGTCAGTTTCCTTCAAGAAGCTCTACAAATAGCAGAGGCTGATGAAACTGTGTGGGTAATGAAATATATGAACCCTAAGGTGGCGGCCTTACTGAACAAACTCCGCACAGCATGTATTGAATTACTATGCACTGCCATGGCATGGGCAGATTTCAAAACTCAAAACCATGCTGAATTACGTTCAAAAATAATTTCAATGTTTTTCAAGTGTCTAACAAGCAGAAATTCAGAAATTGTAGCTGTTGCAAAGGAGGGTTTACGACAGGTTGGTTTCACCTTTTAACATTTATAATTTTTTCTTGTTAGTTTTATTAAGACCATTATCATTCTCTAAAAGGTATAGCTGTATAGCTTCTTTTCTTATATCCTTCCAAGTTCTTGCTTGTTTTTTACCATTGGATTTAACAAGATTATAACTTAGAAATCACGAGAAGATGGACTGGCAGGCAGCATATATCCACTGCTATTCAATTCACGTGGAAGCAATTTAGAGAATTATTCAGAAGAGAGAAGTATAATATTGAATACAACTCCATATTTGTAATCATTTTACAAGGACCATATGGTAATAGACAGACATTTACTTATTGAAACAGCGAGTGGGAAGTGCACGATAAATTGGAAGCCAGGAAATTAGGAATGATTCGATCTCTAAAACTTCTTTAGTAATGTTATAATGCAAACTGATTAGATAGATTCTTAAACTTGATTGTAAGAAACCTAGAAACTCATTAGAAACCTACTATTCTAGTAAAAAATGTTGTGACCTTAAGATTGGCATGTCAGGTGTGGATATAAATGGATTTTCTATGTGGCAATACCACAATAGTTGATATTTGATAAAATCTAGTTTCAATGTGGATATAAATGGATTTTCTATGTGACCTCTCTCAATTAGTCGTCAAGAACCAGACAACAAATATAAAATAGAAAGTCGGAAAACGGGCTCTTCAGGAAAAGATCAGGAAAATAAGTGCTTCGACAATATCCCAGTTTCTGATTCAGGTCACTTCAAAAGAGGGAAAATGATGCATTGGTGTTCCAGACTCTATTCTCTACTTTAGTAATAGCAATGATAATAAATCATCCATCTTCTCTTTGGCATTTTGGAAATTGTTAAATCTTCACGAAATGGAAACAACCGTAGCGAAATCTGCAATTAGCTCCCCTGCTCCAACTACCAAAACTATGAAAAGAAGGTTCATGTTTGGGAATCCATCTTACCATAAGATGAAGGCTCCACAAAACAACAACCCAGTTCAAGGTTGTATTCATCTTACCATTGGCCATTCACTAGAAGTGTTTAGTGAATCTATTACTAGGACAACTTTTGGTCCCAAAAGCAGCACAAGAAAAGACCTTTTCGGTCTAAACTTATAGCCAACACGAACATCTAACATCATAATTGTATCATTTGTATACGTTAGCTAGTTGACTTTGGTGTGACACTTGATCTGTTTTGGTATTGTGGAAGAATGTTAATGTGCTTTTGGCTCATCAGTCATGACTTAGTTAGGCCTTCATATTGAAATCACCCACGGTTCCTCACTACCTTGTACTCATAGAATATGGAGTTGTTTTTACTGATCAGATATGGAATGTCTTTTATTTAGTGTTTTTCTTTACTGGGATTGTTTTCTAGGTAATTTCCATTCCCCCGTGGAGCCAAAGATTTACTATTTTTGGCTTTGGGGTATGATGGTATAAATCAAATTGGCTCTTTAAACTGTTTGTGAAGTAGCAGTTAGTTAATGCAACTTTCGACGCGCATCATGGGTCATCTGGAAACAGCCGCTCTATGTTTTAAACATAGGGGCCAGACTGCGTACATCCGACCCCCCTTACCCCGCAATGGGCGGGAGCCGTTGAGGCACTGGGGTAATGTTGTTATTGTTTGATTGTTTTCTAGGTTATACTACAGCAAAAGATGCCCAAGGATTTGTTGCAGAGCAGCCTTCGACCAATATTAGTTAACTTGGCACATACTAAAAATCTCAGCATGCCACTTTTACAAGGTCTAGCTCGCCTTCTAGAGCTTCTATCCAACTGGTTCAATGTAACCTTAGGCGGAAAGCTGTTAGAACACTTAAGGAAATGGTTAGAACCTGAAAAACTTGCACAGTGCCAAAAATCATGGAAGGCAGGTGAAGAACCCAAAATTGCTTCTGGTAAGTTGTGTTTGATTCCAGATCTTAATTTCTAATGGTGCTTCACTTCTATAATTTCTTTACGGACTTACAATTTTCATTTGTCTATGCAGCTATTATTGAGCTTTTCCATCTGCTTCCCTCAGCAGCTGGGAAGTTTCTTGATGAACTTGTGACCCTGACAATAGATTTAGAAGCTGCCCTTCCACCTGGACAATTTTATAGTGAGATTAACAGTCCGTACCGACTTCCACTAACCAAATTTTTGAATAGGTATCCAACAGCTTCTGTTGATTACTTTCTTGCTCGGCTATGCCAGCCAAAATACTTCAGACGGTAAGTTTAGTTTTGCTTTTATTTAACTTTATCTTTTTTGTATTGAAAAACCATGAGATTGTTGCAGAGATTGTATATGCAAGTTTTTAATGTATTTAGAACGATGTAGGTTTATGTACATAATAAGGTCAGATGCTGGCCAGCCTTTGCGAGATGAACTAGCAAAGTCACCTGATAAGATAATTGCAAGTGCATTCCCAGAATTCGCTTCAAAAACTGATGCTGCAACTGGACATGAACCTGGCAATAGACAAAAGACATTGGTAGGTGATGAAGCTTTTGCAACTCATCAATCCGAGAGTTCTATACCATCTTCAACTTTGGGTGGCATGCAAGATGCTTACTTCCAGGGCCTTGCCTTGGTTAAGACTTTGGTCAAGTTGATGCCTACATGGCTGCAGAACAACCGCATCGTCTTTGACACTTTGGTTATGATGTGGAAGTCACCTGCAAGAATCTCACGGCTCCAAAATGAGCAGGAGCTGAACTTGGTGCAAGTAAGTGTTATTGAAAATCTTGGAAATGGCTTTGCTCTATTCATTTGGTGTGATATTCCCTGATATGTTCAATCATTAACTTCTTTATTGACTTTTCCCCTTTTTCATTTTTAGAATCCATATTTATTATTTCTTGCTAGAGTTGATGTCAATCTATACATTGCTGGTTGGTCTTGGATTTTGTCACATAGTTAACTTGATTTATCGTGTTGTTCAGGTTGTCATACAGTTGGTTATTGTTCAAACATCTATCTAATTGTTCCCTCTGATGCCTAAACTAGATTGGTAGTCTGAGTCTCTTCAACCAGTATATACGAGTACTAATACTCCCTCCCCTCCGTCTTGAATTAAGGTTTCTGGTTTGACCGAGCACGAAGATTAAGAAAAGTTGAAAAATTTTTGACCTCACAAAGATAACCTTAACAAACAACAGGAATTTTACGGAACTCTCGCCACTGCAATCTCCGTGCAGTGGCAATGGAATCCCTATATTTAGAGGGATTTTTGATATTCCGACTAATGGTTCTGTTACATCCAACAGATCTAGATCGCCGAGAATTTTTCCGGTGCAATTGTTGGAAACTCTGCCCCTGCACTCTCTATCAGATGCGATGGGTCTTTTGGAGTGAATCTCTATTGCTAGATGCTCATTGGGATTTGCAGCAAGCAAAAATATATGGAAGAAGCCGAGCTAGATTGAGGTCAAAAACTCAAAATCGAGCAAGATTGAGGCCGGAATCAAGGAGAAAGCAGAAATTGAAGAAGAAGACCGTAAGGCGGAACTGCGTAAGCCTGTTGCTGCCACCCCTCTTTCCACATCGTTGGATTTGCTTGGATCTGAGTGCTAAAAAAATCTTCATTGCTAGATTAGGAAGACACATTAGAAGAGAGGGTGGATTTGGAAACTAGAATAAAGGGTGGAGTAAGGAGTATAAGTGCAAACTTGTCCATTCAATAAAAAAGTATCCTTTTTAGAACTAGGAACTTTATTTTGGGACAGCTCAACATGGAAGCTAGGAACCTTGATTTGGGACGGAGGGAGTAATTGATCAACATTCCAGTAAATCAAGCTTCTCTGGAAAGTCCTTTCTTCTCCTTTTTCATCCTTACCGTTCTCTTTCTCTTGCAGTTATACTCTTTTGTCTTCCTTAATTCTTATTCCCTGTTAGAAGTTTTTGCTCATGAATTTATGGACCAGGCCATGCATTCTATGCATGCATTAATTATGATTTTCCATCTCAATGATTATGATTGGGATTGTACTTGCCAGGAGATTCACATGCTAGCCACTAGCCAGGATCTCCTTGGGTTCACATTCTGCCAGTATCTCCTTGGGAAGAGGAAATGATTTCTATATGTTTTCATATTTTCATAAACATGTTTCACATGTTTATGGTTGTGATTGTCTGAGTGCTTGTATTATACCAGTTGTGACTTATTCAGAATTCATGTATTTTCTAATTCATTATAGTAAAACTTGCAGGTCAAGGAGAGCAAATGGCTTGTTAAGTGTTTCCTGAATTACTTGCAACATGAAAAGGCTGAAATGAATGTTCTATTTGATATCCTCTCTGTCTTCTTGTTTCGTACTCGCATAGACTTTACCTTTCTTAAGGAGTTCTACATTATAGAGGTATGTTGATAACTGATTGTGCTATTTGTTTATGAAATAAAGATTCTTTTATTTTCATCACTATGCAATATTGATCTCTGACTACCAATGTTCACTGAAGGTTGCTGAGAGTTATCCGCCTGAAATGAAGAAAGCTTTGCTCCTCCATTTTCTGAACCTTTTCCAGTTAAAGCAACTTGGTCATGATCACTTAGTTGTCATTATGCAAATGCTTGTTCTTCCAATGCTTGCTCATGCCTTTCAGAATGGGCAAACCTGGGAGGTTGTTGATTCTGCTATAGTAAAGACAATTGTTGATAGGCTTCTTGACCCTCCAGAAGAGGTAGTAGTAAGCACTTATTTTTATATATCCACACCTTGAAATTTCTAGTTTTACATTGAGATCTGCTGGGTTCCTGGGTTTGATAGGTGTCTGCTGATTACGATGAGCCATTGAGGATTGAGCTTCTACAACTTGCAACATTGCTTCTCAAGTATCTTCAGACTGATCTTGTTCATCATCGAAAGGAGCTTATTAAATTTGGTTGGAATCATCTTAAACGTGAAGATAGTGCCAGTAAGCAGTGGGCATTTGTAAACGTTTGCCATTTCTTAGAGGCTTATCAAGCTCCAGAGAAGATTATACTTCAGGTACTTTCTGTTAGTTAGGCATGGTGGTATATAAAATGTTTCTGTCCATCTTTTTGGGTGTGGTTACTTTTCCATGTGTTATTCTTATGGTCTTATGATGTCCCGCTTGCATAGGTATACTTTATTTGGATTGGTGAAAACTGTGGAATCCTGAAGTATTTTTTTCAAACCCAGCATTGCATAGCCATGTGTTTTATTTTCCATTTGCATTATGTTTTATTAAGATACATTTTTGTGTCTGCAGATAAATAAGTGGTAAAATATTGTTATTGGTCATACTTTTGTATCCATTTTTACGGGAAGCATCATGATTCTGGCACTGCTTTGGTTTTGTCGCGATGCTATTTGCTCATGGGCCAAATTTATGTATATGAACATTGAGCATTTAGTAATGGTTAAAGCTCCCTTCGTCCCTAAAATGAAGTTCTCGTTTTCCCTTTTTTTGTCCCTAAAATGAAGTCTTTCCTACACTTCGGTGATATCCTCACATATCCCATCAATAATTGTCTACCACATCATGACAGCATTTTGGAAGTCAAAGATAAAATATATAACTTATTATAAACCGGACAAGTCAAAATTGGATGGGGGGGGGTCAAGTTATACAATGGTTACATAATTTGCCTCATCTCTCATTGGCCCAATGGATCCATGATATCTGGCTGATCTGCTGTCCTTGTGCATTTAGTAGCTGTTCTTGTGCATTCTGTAGGTGTTCTTGATGAGCTAGCTATAGCCTTGCACTAATACATCGCTATGTCTAGCTTAACAAGGATAAAGAATTAATATGAATAGGAAGCTAATACTCCCCCGTCCAATAAAAAGAGTCCTATTTCTCAACTTGTTCTTGTCCCATAAAAAGAGTCGTATTTGCCAATTAGCTTAAAAATGTAGGTATATTTTGTGCTTCCTAAAAGTTGTACCTTACTAAACTTAAAAAGTTACAACAACAACCCAGTTGAATGCCACAAAAGTAGGGTCTGGGATGGGGATGGTGTGTGTACTCATACCTTACCCCTACTTGAAAGTATAGAGCTGTTTCTAAAGACACCCCCGGCTCACGCACCACTAGTAATCACGTATGCAGCCTAGCCCCTATGTTTAAAACATATAGTGGCTGTTTTTACGGATGACCCATGGTGAGTGTTGAAAGTTGCATTGACTAACTGCTACTTCACTATAAAAGAAGCGCATACAGTTTAAAGAGCCATTTTGCTTCATTCCATCATGTCCCAAAGCCAAAAAATAGTGAATCCTTGGCTCCATCAGAGATTATGGAAATTAAAAATTTTTATACTTATTAAAGTGGACTCTTTTTATGGGACGGAGGGAGTTCAATATTGTAAAGAATCCTTTCATGCTGATACCTTTTGGGCATCAAACTTGCCCACGACTCCCACGAGCTTTAAGGGTGATATCTCTGGCACTGACACTTCTGGTCAATAACCAACATCTTAAAAAATTCAGCATTTTGCAGTGCCTGCAACCTTTTGAACTGTGTGCATAACCACGAGGACAGTCTATAATAACATTACTAAAGCCAATTTATGGAACACTTATTTAATGGATTTGGTGTTTGAATGGCTGTGCAGTAGTCATGACTGCACCCCCTGATATATTCTGATATATTTTGGAAAGAACCTCTCTACTTTCGAAAGTGAGTATAAGACACACAGACCACGAGCAAATAAGCAAAAAGCAAACTAAGCGTAAAACTAAAAAGACAAAAAACACCAAGCATAGAAAGCACACAATGAAACAACAACAACAACAACCCAGTTAAATCCCACAAGAGTAGGGTCTGGGGAGGGTGTGTGTACGCAGACCTTGCCCCTACTCGAAAGTAGAGAGGCTGTTTCCAAAGAGACCCCCGGCTCAACGTCGAAAGTTGCATTGCTTGACTAACTGCTACTTCATTAATTAAAGAAGCGCAGACAGTTTAGAGATCCATTTTGATTTATTCCATCACACCCCAAAGCCAAAAAATGGTGAAATTTTGGCTCCATCGGAGATGATGGAAAAGAAAGCACACAATGACTAGTGCAAAAACTATAGCCAAGGCCCACACAACTACCCAACTACCCTAAAACTAGATATTCACATGCTCCTATCTAAGGTTGTAATGAGAGTATATTCTATCTAAATTAAATACTACATCTAAGTCCTAGACTAATACACTAATCTACTTCAACACTAATGCACTAACCGAATAGATAATTATTTAGTTGTCATAACCTTACTAATAAAGTTTTCTAAATTGTAAAGACTTCTGGAGCATATCAAAGTCTTTGGAGTGTGGTTCTTTATGGTGCTTAGCACATATCAGTTACATATTAAAGTTCTAACTGACTAGTTGTTAAGTACAGAATATGTGAATGCTGACATCTATCTCAGTTGGTTATTATAGTTATAATTTGAAAATTATAATAAGTAATACTTGGAATGGCAGGTTTTTGTTGCACTCCTCCGAACTTGCCAGCCAGAGAACAAACTGTTGGTCAAGCAAGCACTTGATATACTTATGCCTGCACTTCCACAAAGGTTGCCTCTTGGTGATTCCCGCATGCCAATCTGGATACGTTATACAAAAAAGATTCTTGTTGAGGAAGGTCATTCTATCCCTAATCTGATACACATATTCCAGCTCATTGTTCGCCATTCAGATCTATTCTACAGCTGCAGAGCACAATTTGTTCCTCAGATGGTAAATTCCCTAAGTCGCCTTGGATTGCCATACAACACTACAGCAGAAAATAGACGACTTGCCATTGAACTTGCTGGGTTGGTAGTGAATTGGGAAAGGCAAAGGCAAAATGAAATGAAAGTGGTGCCTAATCATGATACCACTGGCCAGATTGGCGATAGGTCGAGCCATGTTTCTGTGGATTCCAAGAATCATGTGGATGTATCATCATTTTCAGAAGATCCCAGTAAGCGAGTCAAGGTAGAACCTGGTCTGCAATCCCTCTGTGTCATGTCACCAGGGGGCGTCTCATCAATTCCTAACATTGAAACCCCTGGATCAGCTGGGCAACCTGATGAAGAGTTTAAACCGAATGCAGCAATGGAAGAAATGATTATAAATTTCCTTATACGAGTAAAGCTCTCTTCTCATGCCTTCTTTTTCAAATCTTCTTATGGGATTTGTGATGCTCAGTTTGCTATTTTTGCATTTTATGTAGTATTATTATCAGCAAATATTTAATTCATTAAGCCTTTCTATGATTAAGACTCTAAGAACCATTTTTAACTCCATATATAATGCTGTTAATAGGTAGCCTTGGTAATAGAACCAAAGGACAGAGAAGCTAGTCTGATGTATAAACAGGCCTTGGATCTCTTATCACAAGCTTTGGAAGTCTGGCCCAATGCCAATGTAAAATTTAATTATCTAGATAAGCTTCTTAGCAGTATTCCTCCTCAGTCGAAGGATCCATCCACAGCTCTTGCCCAGGGCCTAGATGTGATGAACAAAGTTTTGGAGAAACAACCTCATCTCTTTGTCCGAAACAATATCAGCCAGATCTCACAAGTATGGTTTTTTGAAGAACTGCATTTCTTTCCTACATGTGGTTGTCAACCTAATGCATTTTATTTTGCCTTTTTCTCTCAGATTTTAGAGCCATGTTTCAAGTTCAAAATGTTAGATGCTGGGAAGTCATTGTGTTCTTTGTTGAAGATGGTTTCCCTTGCTTATCCTCCTAACCAATCTAATACTCCACAAGAAGTGCGAATGTTATATCAAAAAGTGGAGGAGCTCATACAGAAGCACCTTTCTGTGGTTGCAGCACCTCAAACATCAGGAGAAGACAGTTCAGGGAGCATCATTAGCTTTGTCCTTTATGTGATCAAAACATTAGTGGAGGTGCACAAAAATTTCATCGACCCAACTAGTCTGGTACATGTTCTTCAACGGCTGGCACGAGATATGGGTTCTTCCATTGGTTCTCATATTAGACAGGTCAATTGTGCTCATTTGACTTAAAAGCATTTCATTTCTTCTTTGAGTATTCTTTCCATGTGAAACAGTGTTCCATACAAAGTGAATATCATTAAGGTGTTTTGCTTGTGTTTGTGTATCAAACTTTATTTACAATGGTTCTTCATTTTTTACTGCATCATTGATGTGTCTTCTCCATGTTCTGTGGTAATGAAAACACGTTTTTGCTTCATTTTCATGATATCCCAAATTCCCAATGGCCAACTGTTTTTCTGCCCTTTCCTGATCTAACCACCCTAAATCTGAAAAGCAAGAATGACATGGAATAATCACGTGTATTTAACATGCCCTTATAATCATGTTCATTTATACCTGATAGAGAGAGTTTCTTATAGCTTTCCATTACAGGGTCAGAGGTCAGATCCAGATTCTGCAGTCACTTCTTCCCGCCAAGGCGCTGATGTTGGAGTTGTCATTGCTAACCTAAAAGCTGTATTGAGTCTGATCAGTGAACGGGTCATGTCAGTTCCAGAATGCAAACGATCCGTAACTCAAATATTGAATTCATTGCTCTCCGAAAAGGGAACCGACCCTTCTGTGTTGATGTGCATACTAGATGTAGTAAAACGATGGATTGAAGATGATTTTGGTAGATCTGGAGCTGCTGCAGCATCTAATACTTGCCTTACTCAGAAGGATGTGGTTTCTTTCATTCAAAGGCTTTCGCAAGTTGATAAACAGAACTTCTCCAATGCTGTGGACGAGTGGGACCAGAAATATCTCTCGCTTCTTTATGGACTTTGTGCTGACTCGAGCAAGTTAGTATTGCTTTCTTTATTTCATTGGAGCGATTCATATGGCACATTAGCTTATATGATTAATTTGCAGGTATCCTTTCTCCTTGCGTCAGGAAGTTTTCCAAAAAGTAGAGAGGCAATTTTTGCTTGGATTACGGGCAAAAGATCCTGAAATGCGGATGAAGTTCTTCTCTCTTTATCACGAATCCCTTGGGAAGACCCTCTTCTCTAGATTGCAGTACATTATCCAATTACAAGACTGGGAGGCATTGAACGATGTTTTTTGGCTTAAGCAAGGTCTTGATCTTCTCCTGGCCATTTTAGTTGAGGACAAGCCCATAACGCTGGCTCCAAATTCTGCCAAGGTTCCTCCGCTGATGATATCTGCTTCAGTTGCTGATAGCACTGCCGTACAACCAATGATATTGGATGCTGAAGAAGGTTCTGAGGAAGCTCCCCTAACTTTTGATGGTCTTGTGTCGAAGCATGCACACTTTTTGAATGAAATGAGCAGGCTTAAGGTATGTGGACTTTCCTCTTAACATTCATTCTTTGATACTTTCATCCTTAGCTGCACATTTTTCTTGTGTAATATGGTTGCTTATATCCTCTAAAAAAGTTTACGTGGTTATTTAGCTATATTGTGAGGAAAGTCTCATGTAACAATATTTTCAATCTTTCATTTTGGATCCATGTTATACTTGTTGCTCAATTGCAATCCTTCAAATCTTAGGTTGCTGATCTAGTTCTCCCACTGAGAGAGCTGGCACATACAGATGCGAATGTGGCTTACCACCTTTGGGTTTTGGTATTCCCCATTGTTTGGGTCACCTTGCTCAAAGAAGAGCAAGTTGCCCTTGCTAAGCCAATGATAACTCTGCTCTCAAAAGATTATCATAAAAGGCAGGCTATGCAGCGACCAAATGTTGTTCAAGCTCTTTTAGAAGGACTTCAGCTAAGTCATCCTCAACCTCGAATGCCCAGTGAGCTCATTAAATACATTGGAAAGACATATAATGCATGGCACATTGCTCTAGCATTGCTGGAAAGTCATGTGATGCTATTCATAAATGACACTAAGTGCTCTGAATCTTTGGCTGAGCTTTACCGGTCAATCAATGAAGAAGATATGAGGTGTGGATTATGGAAAAAACGGTCAGTTTCAGCAGAAACGCGGGCTGGGCTCTCCCTTGTGCAGCATGGGTATTGGCAGCGTGCTCAAAGCATTTTTCAACAAGCCATGCTTAAGGCAACTCAAGGTACTTATAACAATTCCGTTCCTAAAGCAGAGATGTGTCTGTGGGAAGAGCAGTGGCTATCTTGTGCTTCCCAACTTAGTCAATGGGATGCACTAGTAGACTTCGGGAAGGCAGTTGAGAATTATGAGATTTTACTTGACAGTCTGTGGAAGCAGCCTGATTGGGCGTATTTGAAAGATCAAGTTATTCCAAAGGCTCAAGTTGAGGAGACCCCAAAGCTCCGTATCATACAAGCCTATTTTGCTCTTCATGAAAAGAATACTAATGGAGTGGCGGAGGCTGAAAGCATTGTCGGGAAAGGAGTTGATCTTGCCCTGGAACAGTGGTGGCAGTTGCCGGATATGTCCATTCATTCAAGAATTCCTCTTCTACAGCAATTCCAACAACTGGTTGAAGTTCAGGAATCATCTCGTATCATTGTTGACATTGCCAACGGAAACAAAATTCCTGGAAACTCTGTTGTTGGTGTTCATGGTGCGGCATATGCGGATCTGAAGGATATACTTGAGACATGGAGACTGAGGACTCCTAATGAATGGGATAACTTGTCTGTTTGGTATGATTTGTTTCAATGGAGGAATGAAATGTATAATGCAGTCATTGATGCATTTAAGGACTTCGGTTCTACAAATTCTCAATTGCATCATCTTGGGTATCGTGATAAGGCATGGAATGTAAATAAACTTGCCCATATTGCTCGGAAACAAGGACTTCATGACGTCTGTGTGTCTATTCTGGAGAAATTGTATGGGCATTCAACGATGGAAGTTCAGGTTTTTCTTCTAATCTCGTGAGTTGGAGTCCCTCTATTTTTTAGCTGAGTTTAATGTTCTCAGGCCATCTATTCTTTTCCAATGACTTGCAGGAAGCCTTTGTAAAAATTAGGGAACAAGTCAAAGCTTATCTAGAAATGAAGGGAGAGCTAACAAGCGGTCTTAATTTGATCAACAATACTAATCTGGAATATTTTTCTGTCAAACACAAAGCTGAAATTTTTCGTCTTAAGGCAGATTTCTTGTTGAAGCTTAATGATTGTGAAGGGGCAAACATTTCATATTCAAATGCTATTTCCCTTTTCAAGAATTTGCCTAAAGGATGGATTAGCTGGGGCAATTATTGTCATATGGTATGCATTTTTATCCCCATCCAACTTCAGTTTTTTTAGCTACCCAAAATAATTTTGTTTATTATCAGGTTTACAAAGATGCCCACGAGGAAATATGGCTGGAGTATGCAGTCAGCTGCTTTTTACAAGGGATCAAGTTTGGGAGCCCTAATTCTAGAAGCCACCTTGCTCGTGTTTTATATCTTCTGAGCTTTGACACTTCAAGTGAGCCTGTAGGAAGAGCATTTGATAAATATTTTGACCAAATACCCGATTGGGTTTGGCTTTCTTGGATCCCTCAGCTGCTACTTTCCTTACAGAGGAATGAGGCTCCTCATTGCAAACTTGTTCTATTAAAAATTGCTACTGTGTATCCACAGGTAATGTTGCATCTTGTGTTCGTTTTTCATTCCTTCTAGGCTTCTTTATTTTATTGAATTGATCTTTCTTTAATTTCAGGCATTGTATTACTGGTTGCGCACGTATTTACTTGAACGCCGTGATGTTGCAAATAAATCTGAATATAGTAGAATGGCAATGGCCCAACAAAGAATGCAGCAGAATGTCTCTGCTGCCAATGTAGCTGGGTCTATGGGGTTTGCTGAGGGAAATGCTAGAGTAACTGGTCAGAATGGTGGTTCAAGTGCTGCAGAGAATCATGTCTCTCAAGGAACTCAGACTGGAGGGGTTGGCTCTCATGATGGCAGTAGCTCTCATGTTGCTGAACCTGAAAGGTCAACACATGTTGAAGGTGGCATGCCTTCTGGAACTGACCCATCTTTAAACCAGAGCTCTTCTTCTGGTGATGGTGGTCAGAATTTGTTAAGGCGTAGTACTAACTTAGGTTTGGGGTCTTCGGCAGCTAGTGCATTTGATGCTGCAAAAGATATAATGGAGACACTGAGAAGTAAGCATGCCAACCTTGCTAGTGAACTTGAGGTGAGTAGGTACCTGTTTTACAGTTTTTGCTCATATACTTCGGTCCTCTGGATCTTTATAAGGATTTTTTCTTTTTTGTTGAATGAAATTATAATTACATAGGTAATCTTGAAAGTTGAAATGATTACAACAACAACAACAACAACCCAGGTGAATCCCACAACAGTAGGGTCTGGGGAGGGTGTGTGTACGCAGACCTTGCCCCTACTCGGAAGTAGGGAGGCTGTTTCCAAGAGACCCCCGGCTCCACCTGCACAAAAATATGGAAGGGAACACAGTATAACACAGATAAAGCACCAAGTACAAGCAACAAGTACAAGCAATAGTAGAAGATTCCAAACGAATACAACACACTACAAAACAACCTCTACAACACCAAGCTCCTATCCAGCTACTCTAATTCTAGTTTTCCAAAGGTTCCTATCTAGGGCCATATCCTCAGTCAGGTTGAGAAGTCCTAAATCCTGCCTAATCACCTCCTTCCAATTCTTCCTAGGTCTACCTCTTCCCCTACTTCCCTCGATAACTGTAATCCTCTCGCATCTCCGTACAGGGGCGTCAGGATCCCGCCGTCTCACATGGCCAAACCATCTCAACCTCGCTTCCCGCAACTTATCTTCCACAGGTGCCATGCCTACCTGATGTCGGATAACTTCGTTTGAAACCCTATCCAACCTTGTCTTCCCACACATCCATCGTAACATCCGCATCTCCGCCGCATGCAGACGACGCACATGAGTCTTCTTAACCGCCCAACACTCTGCCCCATATAACATAGCAGGTCTGACTACGGATCGATAGAACTTACCTTTCATTCTAGGCAAAATCTTCGGATCACACAACACCCCCGAAGCTAACCGCCATTTGGCCCAAGCCACTCTAACACGATGTCCAACATCTGCATCTAACTCCCCATCAGCCTGGATTACCAAGCCAAGATATCGAAACCTGTCTACCTTAGGTACTAGGTGCGAGTCAATCCTGACTTCCACCTCTGATTCTGTATCCCGGCCGCTGAAACGACATTCCATGTATTCAGTCTTGTTCCTACTTATTCTGAATCCTTTAGTTTCAAGGGCAAGGCGCCATAATTCCAACTTATCGTTTAGTCCCTCACGTGTGTCGTCGATAAGCACAATATCATCCGCAAAAAGCATGCACCATGGGACCCCGTCTTGAACACCTTGAGTTAGGACGTCCATCACCAAGGCGAACAAAAAAGGGCTAAGGGCAGACCCCTGGTGCAACCCCATCCCTACCGAGAAAGAATCTGAGTCGCCCCCAGAAGTCCTTACCTTGGTCATAGCCCCATCGTACATATCCTTGATCGCACGAGTGTACACGATGGGAACTCCTCTCGCCTCAAGGCACCTCCATAAGACCTCCCTAGGCACCCTATCATACCCCTTCTCAAGGTCAATAAACACCATATGAAGGTCCTTCTTCCTAGCCCTATACTCTTCCATTAACCTCCTCACGAGATGAATGGCCTCTGTAGTCGATCTGCCAGGCATGAAAAGAGTTTGGTTTCATCATGTTACTAACTTTTTAATTTTACTAAGGTACGACCAATAGAAATTATCAACCATAGCTATATGTTAAATGGATTTCTGGACGCCATCAATCCAACCATTTAGGGTATTGGAAAATTTTAATCCTACCTTTCAAAAAGCAGGTCATTGAGCCGACCTTTAGGCATTATTATTTTCATTATACCAACAACGAATTAGGATAATAAGAATTCAATTTTTAAATAATGTGTCTCCCTAAATTACTGATATAAAAATAAAAAAAAAATCCACACATATCACCTATTTATGATCTTGAGACAGGCTACTTTCTCCGATTTGGGCTACTTTCTCCAATATTTGGGAAGTGGTTGAGATCTCACACGAAGGAAAACTCATGTAGCGAGTCATCCCTTTACATCAAGCTTGAATGGTGGAAAGGGTACCCTCCTTGCGCGAGATCCATTGCTTCCCAATTTTAAGGCCTACTACTTAAATCATTATCAATCAGAGAAAGTAGATGGTCTTGAATCATAAGTACGTGATCATAGTTGTTAATGGCCACTGGCAAGGGGCGGGCGAGAGGACCTTTTTTATGGTGTATATATATAGACAGACACACACACCGTTAGACATTATATGGATTAAAAACATAATAAAAATAAATCAACAAAAAAAGTAAGAATCGACTATGCTAAAGAGGAGTGATGTGACCTACTTGCGCTGCAATTGCGCCTTAGATAACAAAATTTTTGCTGGCGATGGAGTCCTGAAGAAGAATCGACTAAAGAGACTCTGGAGCGGTTTCCGAGACTTGAGGAATTTGATAGTAAGAATTGGAGCGACAAGCCAGAAGAAACGCGATTAAATAGGTCAAGGTCAGTTAATTTTTTTTTAAAAAATTGACCAGACGCAAAGCGTAGCTGGCGCACGCCACTCACCAGAATCCCTAGCAGCAATAGCGACGCCTCTGGCTCGCCTCAGGTAAAACGCCGCGCCACAATCCTGATTAGCGGAAATACCACGCCACAACGCCTTTAGCGCAAATGGCGCTCGCCATTAACAACTATGTACGTGATATGTGTGAATGTGTTTACATTTTTTATTTTTCATATCAGAAATATAAGATGCACAGTTGAGCTTTAATTAGCATAAGTTGTTGCTGGTATAATGAAAAATGAAAATAATAAGGCGTAAAGGTTACTCAATGACAAGCTCTTTGAAATGTGGGACTTATATCATTTAAATCAATTAAGGCATTGGATTTATGACATTAAAAATCCTTTAAATTTAGTTTGTTTAACTAAATTATAAAAAATAAAAAAAAACTTGTTTGTGACACTTTTAATATATAAACTGTTATATAATAAAAGTTAGCGTGTTTGGTCATGTGCCACTCATTTCTTGGGCATAAATATGTTATGAAACATGATTTTTTTATGGAGCGGAGGAAGTAACATAATTTTTATTAATATTTTAAGGTTTGGGTACACACCCTCACCAGACCTTGTGGGATTCTACTGAGGTTTTTGTTGTGTTTTGGAAAGAGATCAAAATTCACTGTCCCATCTGTGAGTTAGCAACCCATTAGTACATCAGTCCCCTGTCGTCACTTGTTTTATGTTAGTTGTGAAATTTGAAATCTATCTGAACTGGCCTATTATCTTTTTTGATAGAATCATATGCGTGTTTTCCTTCTCTTATGCACAATTGTTAAAGAACATATGAATCTTGTAATGAGAGATGTCCTTGTAGACAATATTCATTGTCGTGATATTTTCTATGCAAGTGAAAATAACCTTTGAGGATTTGATGTTGATTATGCAATCACCTAATAAAAAAGAACATACCAATCCCAATGATTCATTGATTCTCAGAATTCATTGTGGATCCAGCTGACAATATAGGTGTGGGATGATGACTGGTATATTATATACGGAGTATGTAGCAATATTTTGTCTTTTGTGAGTGTTGATGAAGGGAGCCATCGAGGGCTCTGCGAAAGTAGGTTGTATGGAGAGCTATAGTGAAAATGTTTCTGCTGGAAATTAAACCTGCGACCTCCCAAGATCCCACCACCATACAGCTGTGGCTTATCACTAGATCATAGACTTGACTTCATGTCATGTATTTAAATTTTTTAAAATGTTGACTGTTTAATTCTTTATTTCATGTCTGTATATTTAAGATTGCAGAGGGCACACATATTCCTTTGAAATTTCCTCATGTATGAGTGGGTGATAATGACACTAATTTTTTTCCATCAAAACTGTCTCCCCAGATCTTGCTCACGGAAATTGGTTCAAGATTTGTCACTTTACCAGAAGAGAGATTGCTAGCTGTTGTTAATGCTTTGCTACATCGATGTTACAAATACCCAACCGCAACTATAGCTGAAGTTCCACAATCTTTGAAGAAGGAGCTGTCTGGTGTCTGTAGGGCTTGTTTTTCAGCAGATGCTGTGAGCAAACATGTAGATTTTGTAAGAGAGTACAAACACGAGTTTGAACGAGATCTTGATCCTGATAGTACATCAACGTTCCCAGCTACACTTTCGGAACTCACAGAACGGCTGAAGCACTGGAAAAATGTTCTGCAAAGCAATGTTGAGGACCGTTATCCCGCTGGTCTGAAGCTTGAAGACGAGAGCAGGGTGTTGCGAGACTTCCATGTTGTTGATGTGGAAGTTCCAGGACAATATTTTTCTGACCAGGTATGGTCATACTTCTATTACTAGACAGTAGTTGTAGTTAGAAACAAAGGAAATTTGTTATCCAACGTTAATATATTAACGTTTTTCTTGTTCAATTCCATCCTCAAAATATCCGTGCTCCCTCCGTCCCATAAAAGAATTCCATTTTTCTTTATTGTCTGTCCCAAAAAAGGTTTTTCTCTCCTATTGAGGAAGGAATTGTGTGGTTCGCATAATCTCTCTCTTTTCTGCACCAAACTTACCACACACTTTCACCTTTATTAATAACCATGCCCTATTAATTGTGGAACCTTATATCGGGACGGAGGGAGTGGGGCCAGTGGGGTGCTAGTTGGAGGTGGGTTGTGGTGAGCCTCAAAGCAAGGGCATTTTAGTCCTTTCAAACCATTAGTCAATGCCTCTTAAAAATGAGGAAAATTCAAAGTGGGAACATTATTCCCGGACGGAGGGAGTACTACATAATTCTTTCTGTGTTCTTAAATAGTGGCAACACTTTCATTTTTTAGAAGTTTCCAAATAATTGCAACCCTTTTATTTTGGGTGGTAAAAAGATGATTATTACACTTTATTGATTTATTCCCAACCACAACCTTAGTGCTTAAGTGATGTAATTTAGGATGTGGTATAGATAACTCGATTGGGCAATAAGACACTTCAGCTGAACTACATTAAAAGATTAAATCCAATCGATTATTTAGTTTAAACTCAAGAGCTTATATACTGATTATTTTACTCTTGGACTTTCGATGTGGGATGCACTCTAACACTTCCCCTCAAGCGGACAACCGAGCCATTTTGAGTCTAACCGGTTGACCACTTGCAAATGAACTCTCATCCCCTTGATTTTTTTGAGCGCCTACACCTAAAGATCACAAGCCGCTAGGTATGGACTTTCAGACGAGCAATCGTGTTAAACGGGCCACAGGCCGTTGGGTACATACTCCAAACGGACAACTGGACTAAAGACTAACGGCCGCTAGGAATGAACGTCTAGACGAACACCTTGACAAACGAGGTGGGCCAAAACCTGCTCCGATACCATCTACCATGTCAAAGAACCAATTCAACCAAAAGCTCAAGCTTGAGCTTTTGGCTGAGTTGGTTCCTTGGCATGGTGTTGGTAAAGATAATTTAGGACGGGGTAAAGATAACTGAATTGAGCAATAAGATACTTGGGCTGAACCACATTAAAAGATTGAATCCAATCGATTATTTAGTTTAACCCAAGAGCTTATATACCAATTATTTTACTCTTGGACTTTCGATGTGGGATGCAATCTAACACTAACTGTAGTACAACAACAACAACAAAAACAGTATAATCCCAATTCTTCTAGACACGGGGGTTAAGATGCATGCAATCTTAACCCTGAAAAAAGAGTTGTTTATGTTAGACCTTTGATGCATTGCCGCTTTACTGGTCAAAACCTCATAGAGAGTAAACGGGGAAAGTTTAGTGTGTCCATTTTGATTTAATACATTATTTATCTAAGGCTACAACACTGTAAAAAATGACTCTTTTAGCTCTGTTGACATTGGAATGCTCACGTAACTGTTGTTCAATTGTAGCTGTTTTCTCTCCTTGTAATCATACAGCAATACTAAATGACACCTCTTATTTCTTTTGCACCCATCTTCATGTTGCATTTTTAAAATGAGGAAGTATTAATAGTGTCAGGAATCAGGATATCAAACTATGTTAGCAGGAAAGATGTGACAGTCTAGGTTGCACGGGTTTGCCGATTAGGTGCTATTTGACGTACCAGAATCGTTGCAGGGACAATGGCGGCTTTGGGGACGGCTGGAGACGACCCACAACCGCCTTGGATGATATGGATTCGACGGTACCCTCTGCCGCTTTGAAATCGGAATTAGGGAGTGAACCCGGTTCCGACTGGGACTGCGACCAGACGACCCGCGCTCCACCTAGTCATTTTTTTAAAATTTTTTTAACGTAGTAACTACCGAGTATAAAGAATTAGGGTTAGCGCTGTAATTTAGGAATATTTTGATATTCTATATATAAAATGCGAGGGAGAGACTTCAGATTTATATCAGCCGGAATGTAGCTTCATTTCAACTCTAGAGTCTAGACTCGATTGGGGCCATTGGCTTTAGACGAAAAGGACAACCATGTGCATCTTTACTACAAAGTTTTAAAAATATTTTAAAAATTTTGGAGTATTTGTCGTGTTATTTGTTGTTATAATCTATGCTTAAAATATTTACATTTAACAATGAAAGCATTAAGATTACGGGTTTGAATTTTTTTTAGTTAAATTTTGAATAGTTCTCTTGCTAAATACTACTCCATATGAATTCTCAACAAGAAGGTGATAATAGTTCTAAAATTAATAATAATAATGCATTGCCATTGTAGAAGTATGTCACCAAATTAATGAAAAATGAGGGAAGGAGGAACTTGACAATTCAATGGCACATGTATGATGTACCTCATTGGATTGTTCAAATGTTATGTGCTAATTAAGCTTTGCTTTTTATATTTAGGATTTTATTTTTATTGTTTTATTATTATTTTTCCCGTATTCTTGCTATACTCACATCCTGTAATTTTTAAAAATGTTGTTTTCGATCCCGTCCCGGTATATGCACCCGTACCCATCCCAATGCAACTTAGGTGACGGTTTCATATTCTAGCGTGTAGAGGCTAATTTGGAAAGTTCTTTTCAAATTTTAGTTCCAACACTTCTGTAGAAGTGTTTGTATCGTCCAAAATAGAATACTAAGACGAGAGTAATTTTATCTTATTGCTTAGATTTTCCCTTCATTCTTTCCATCGTGAATAATATTTTACAGTTGGATTATTTTTTTACACCTGTTTCTAACCTTGTTTCTTTTACAGGAAGTAGCACCTGATCATACAGTGAAGTTGGACAGGGTGGGATCTGATGTTCAAATTGTTAGGAGGCATGGAAGCAGTTTCCGACGTTTGACACTGATTGGGTCTGATGGTTCACAACGTCATTTTATCGTCCAGACATCATTGACACCAAATGCTAGAAGTGATGAACGGATCTTGCAACTTTTCCGAGTTATGAACAGAATGTTTGACAAGCATAAGGAATCCAGAAAGAGACACATATGTATTCACACACCAATCATCATACCTGTGTGGTCGCAGGTAACTTGAGATGCTTCATCCCAATTACTACTCTTGACTCACAAAATAGTGTCATCAAAACTAATTTCTGTACAAATTATTTGAGCAGGTCCGCATGGTGGAAGATGATTTGATGTATAACACACTCCTTGAGGTATATGAGAACCACTGTGCTAGAAATGCTCGGGAGGCAGACCAACCGGTAACATATTTCAAGGAGCAGCTTAACCAAGCAATATCTGGGCAAATGCCAGCAGAAGCTGTTGTTGACCTTCGGCTTCAAGCATATAGTGACATTGCAAAGACGTTAGTGGATGACACTATATTTTCGCAGTATATGTACAAAACCCTCTTGAGCGGAAATCATATGTGGACATTCAAAAAGCAGTTTGCCATTCAGTTGGCAATCTCAAGCTTCATGTCATTCATGCTCCAAATTGGAGGCCGGTCCCCCAACAAGATATTGTTTGCCAAAAACACAGGGAAGATATTCCAGACTGATTTCCATCCTACGTATGATGCAAACGGAATGATTGAATACAATGAACCTGTGCCCTTCCGCTTGACGAGGAACTTGCAATCATTTTTCTCCCATTTTGGAGTGGAAGGACTCATCGTTTCTTCTATGTGCGCGACAGCACAAGCTGTGGTTTCCCCTAAAGTAAGATTGAATGTTCTGTTTTTTGTTTCTCGATTTGGTTCTTGACTATGCAATATGGACCCAAATTAATACTCATGCATATTTCTCTGTATTTAAGAAGGGTTTTTAGGATCAGATCCAATTTATGCATATTTAAATACAAAATTGAAGTAAAATTCGGCCTAAGTGAATGAAATTTTCCTGCTAATATATTGCAGCCAATTATGTATTCCATCCGTCTCAGAATAAGGTTCCATTGAGGTCAAACCAAATCTTCTTTTCTAGCATTTTTTTCATCAATCATTTGGTAAAATGAAATTTTCAAACAGTCAAACCACCTCTTGTGTTTTATAAAACTTTTGATGTAGTTTTAAATTTAAATTTTATTTTTTAAAGTCTACTCCAATTTTCAAATAAAGAAATTGAAAATTACTTCAATCAAACATAGTAAACCATAAGTGGAACCTTATAATGAGATGGTGAGATGGAAGGATTGAGGAATAAATTGCTTCCAAATTGCACAATCATGGATTAAATTGAGTACAAAGTAATTCTTGGACCACAGTGAGAGTGTAAATGAGGATATATCAGGTCCATTTTTAGATGACCTATAATTAAATCTGAAATCTCCACTCACAGCAAATCCAGCATCTGTGGTACCACTTGGCGATGTTTTTCCGTGATGAGCTTGTATCTTGGTCGTGGAGAAGACCCATAGGGATGGGAGGTTGTCCTGTTGTCACCACTGCAGGCAATTTGACCCCTGTTGAGCTCAAACAAAAGATAACTACAAATGTTGAGCATGTAATTGGCCGGGTCAACGAAATAGCACCACAGTTCATCTCTGAAGAGGTACGGGTCTCTGTTTCCTTGCTACTTAGTTATTATGTCTTGAACTTGTAGTACTGAACAGTAGCACGTTCTTCTCTGGTCGTTCATGCATGGTTTAAAAAAGCAAATAAAAGAAAAAAAAAAGTTGTGCTGATATGTTGTATCTCTAACATCAGGATGAGAACGCGATGGATCCTCCACAATCTGTGCAGAGAGGAGTGGCTGAATTGGTCGAAGCTGCCCTTACTCCGAGGAATTTGTGCATGATGGACCCGACTTGGCATCCCTGGTTTTGATTCTTTTTTTTTTGCACCCACCGTGCGTACTTCCCTACTCTGCTTCCATCTCTGTGTAGGTAGGGTAAAACTGATCCATACTGCCCTGTATTAGAACAAACCCAGTAAAGTCCCACAGAAGTAGTGTCTGTGAGGGTTTCTGTGAGCTTCCTAGCTCTCTCCCGCTGCGTATGTATATATGTATATTTATTTGCGTGTGAATAAAATTAAGTTTGAAGTAGAGACAACCGCCAATTGAGCAATTGTGCTCTTTTGTTTATTTTCAGTGGGAGCAGCAGAAACCAAAACTGCCTATATTTATGTTAATGCCTCTTGAAATTAAATGGTAGAACTGTCAAACAGGTTTGTGAGGTTAACATTTTGGCACTTCTTTAGGTTTGTCCCATTTTGAGCTCTTTTCTTAGCACAAACTAATGATCTTTTAATTTATTTTTTTTTTTTTGGGAGGAAAGAATTGTGTGATTCACTGATTCATATTACTTTTCTTCTAACAATTATACTTTTCCTTTAAATATGTACTACATTATTTTCACATGAAAAGAATTTTGTGATTCATATTACTTTTCTTCTACACTATTAGGTATTTTTTTCCTTTGAATATGTACTACATTATTTTCACATGAAAAGAATTGTGTGATTCATATTACTTTTCTTCTACACTATTATACTTTTCCTTTAAATATGTACTACATTATTTTCACATGAAAAGAATTGTGTGATTCATATTACTTTTCTTCTGCACTATTATACTTTTCTTTTAATATAGGATAGGAGTCATATACTATTAGGTGTTCCGCCGTTGCTTGTGAGTGTTCGACTCCGTATCGACTCAACAGATTTATATCGTCATTTTTTTCTAGCAGTTTTCTGAACATTGTTTGAATATTTTTTGTTTTCCAGACAACATTTAGACAAATAATATTTTCTGTAGTAAAATGAGTAATATGAAGAGACTCAAATAGGATTTATACTTATTTAATGTCATTTAAGTCCTTTATTAGAAATTTTAAGAAAAAGTTCTACTTGTGATTTTTTCTAAAAAAAAATAATTTACAGTTTAAAATACAAAGCACGTCTAGTCCACTGACACCCATCAGACTCGGTAAATGACCTCACATTCTCTGAAGCGATACATTCAGCCGCCGTAATATGTCGTCTGCAAAAGATTTTGGTTGCACTGCCACCGCAAGAAGTGATTACTTCCTCCGTCCCAAATTATTTGTCACATTTCTATTATTGAGGTAAAATATCAAGTTTTTTTAATTCATTTTATTTACATATTGGTAAAAAAAAAAAAAAAAATTACATATCAAAAAACTAAATGAAAAATTTTTCGAAATAAGAGGTGTCAAGAATATATTTTATTTTATCAAATCACCAACGAAAACGTAGAAATAAACAAAAGTTTTCACGATTGTTGAAAAAGCAAATGTGGCAAATAATTTGGGACGGAGGGAGTATAATAATGAGACTCCTCTTTTGGTATGTAACAACTCATTCACTCATATCTGGGTTGAATTGTTAAGTAAATATTATGGACCCAAAAATTATACTGTACATTTTTTCTTTAGTCGTCAAAAGAGAAAATATTATTCTCTTCGTTTTAAAATCATTTTTTAGGTTTTGACTTCACATAATTTTTAATAAAGTATTTGTTGCTTTAAAAAGAAAGAGGCAAATTTTATGACAACTTAAATAAGAAAAAAGGAATTTGATTTTAACTAAGGGATCGAGGCGTTAAGATTGAACTATACACACAGTAAATCAGATGAAGGAATAAAGAGAACGGCCCGGTTCCATGGCGGGGGGTTATGAGTTTGG